ATATACTCTTAAATACACTCTTAAAGTGGCACTGTCATGGCCGAATCCAGTTTTGTTGTTGTTTTTTTAACCCCCCCCTCCCGACTCCACTACATCTAATTGTCCCCCTAGTCACCCCCAAATGCCCATAAGCCCCCCATATTACCTATGTTTTAATCTTTATTTTGTGCCCGGACCTAGGTCCTGGGCGCCACCATCTTTGTGTGCGTAGATGAAGACACTGTGGGACACATCATCTGCCCACACTAGATAGCGATGTGAAATTCCCGTGCATGCCCAGTTAAACACTTGGGCATTCGCTGCGGGAATTTCGACTATTCATTAATTCGTCAGAAAGACTAATGAATGAATTGAAATTTTAGATGAACAAACAAACACAGAATATCGGTGTTCGTTTGTTCATTCAGTTTATTACAAGGAGGGAACTATCGACGCACAGTTCTCTCCTTGTAAAAATAGAAGTGGCAGGAAGCAGTGATCCCCGTCACTTCCTAAGCCCCCCCATGTCCTCCCTCACTCACTCGAGTGCCCTGACAACCTTTACCGGAACATTAGGGCCAAAAAAGACAGTCGCCATCACATCTCCCATAGGAACTCCTCTTCATATGTGAGCGCTGCCCGGGGATCAGCTCGCTCCATGTTCCGAGTTCCTTTGTAGATAGGGGCACTGTACGAATACTAGCATTGCCTTCAATTATAAATCCAACAATACCGGTGTCTCCAGGATGCTTCTATACTCACTAGGAAGCCATGCCACCTCTGCCACCAGATGCAACGGACCGCCTGGCACCTCCGTCAATCGCTGCTTCCTAGCAATCCTTAAGTACCATAAGCACCATACTGGACACCATAAATATCACAAAAGCTTGGTTGAGGTCTCGCTGTTCTACACCCACCCTGGACCCAAGACCAGGATCCAGCTTCCAATGGGTAGACCTTTCCTAGTCCAGAGAGCAAAGCAGGCTGCTCTTACAAGAGCAATCGTTGTGATCCAAGGGAGTATAGTGATTATAGCAATCCCCAGAGTGAATATAGTTCTCCAATCCCCCAAACATGAGCCTAGACATCATGAAGGGTAAAACACAACTGGCCCTAGATGCAGGTCCCCATGCAAGGGGCACTCCCTGGACCTGAAAGTAGACTACAGTAAAAACATACCCACGATTAAATTGGCTCTCAGGCCGAGGAAACTCCCATGTAAAATAGGTCAATCACTCCTCTATGCCTGGGAAATAATTGAGTCAGCACTGTATTAAACTCAATTATCTCCAGGCACAGAAAACATACACTTTACAAAACCCCAAAAGTACCTTAAAACACACAAAATCCCCACAAAATGTACATCCCCTGATAGCCCTGATCTGGGTGCCCAACATATCAAAAAATCACCCAAATCAGTTCAGTAGTGATGTCCCGAACAGTTCGCCGAACGGTTCGCCGAACGGTTTGCCATGGACGGCGAACATATGCGCTGTTCGGTCCGCCCCCTATGTCATCATTGAGTAAACTTTGACCCTGTACCTCACAGTCAGCAGACACATTCCAGCCAATCAGCAGCAGACCCTCCCTCCCAGACCCTCCCACCTCCTGGACAGCTCACTAAGAATGCAACTTCACAATGAATGTAAAATGGATGCTGTCCAGGAGGAGGGAGGGTCTGCTGCTGATTGGCTGGAATGTGTCTGCTGACTGTGAGGTACAGGGTCAATGTTTACTCAATGATGACATGGGGGCGGACCGAACAGCGCATATGTTCGCCATCCGCCCCCTATGTCATCATTGAGTAAACTTTGAACCTGTACCTCACAGTCAGCAGACACATTCCAGCCAATCAGCAGCAGACCCTCCCTCCCAGACCCTCCCACCTCCTGGACAGCTCACTAACACTGCAACTTCACAATGAATGTAAAATGGATGCTGTGACGAAGTGCCCTTCGCCACTTGGTCCTGGAGAGGCCTACTTGCCAGCCTCCTCCCCTGTGACTATGACTCTTTCATGTATCTGGCTTTAAAGCCCCTAGTATACCTTCAGACAGACTATTTATGTAGGCTGCTTTATTTATCTTATGTTTTAGTCACCCTGTACCCATTATAGGTGCAGGTGTGTGTGTAATGTAATTGTTTATAGTGTGTGTGTGTGTACTGTGTAATGTATTGCCTGCTCTCTTGTATTGCTGAGGTTTGCTACCAACTAGGTGGGTTTGGCTATGGAGCTGGTCTAGTGCCCTCTGTTGGTAGCAACAGCAATATGCACTACCTGAATTGCAAGACTGGTTCATTTGCATATTCAGGTAGATTTGCATATTGCTAATTCTGCAGGCAGGTGAGATATTTACTGTTAAATATTGTCTCCCCCTACCCCTTTAAAAATGTGCCATTGTGTTGTGATAAGTCACTGTGTGTTGCTTGATTTGGTTTGACTGTTTGTGATTTTATTGAGTTTTCACAACAATGTTATTGTGGTGACCCTATTGGCTGGTCCCAAGGGAATAAAGGTTTTGACAGTTCTTCTTGATCCCTCTAAACGTAGCCTTGTCTCGTTATTGGAGGGAGCTGTTATAATCACACTGGGGATTGCTATGCATAATCCCCTGAGCTTGAGTCACTTAGCTCTTTTAAGAGCTTGTTCCTGACCCGCTCTCCTTGGAGGAAGGGTCTTCACCACACAGTCCTGGATGCTGGAGGTTCATACAGGGTGGAAGGAAGAGTTCTTTCCCACACAGTCCTGGAGGACAGAAGCTGATCCAGGGTGGAAGGAAGACAGCGAGACTCCAGTCGAGATAAGGCCGGTTGCGGAGTCTGCGGTGGTTGTGGTGTCTGCAGCGCTTGGAGTCCTCAGGAAGCGCTAGGAGCATCCGTCAACGGAGGGTACTCAGTCGGAGTACAAGGAGCTCCGTTACAGATGCTGTCCAGGAGGTGGGAGGGTCTGGGAGGGAGGGTCTGCTGCTGATTGGCTGGAATGTGTCTGCAGACTGTGAGGTACAGGGTCAAAGTTTACTCAATGATGACATAGGGGGCGGACCGAACAGCGCATATGTTCGCCTTCCGCGGTGAACCGTTCGGCAAACCGTTCGGGACATCACTACAGTTCAGGGGTTCAGGAATTGCATGGAAGTCATAATTTGACCGACCACTCACGTGGTCCAATGCCGAAAACAGTTCCAGAGAATCAGGGCTTGCGGTCGTTCTAGTTCGAACAAACTACCAAACAGAGTCAATAGTTGATCCTCTTGTTCGTGGGAATGTTTCCACTGAACAACGCCTTTCTAAGTGTTGTAGAACCGAACGCAGGTGATGCTGGAAGTCCAGCAGTGTTCGGGAGTATCTGTGTCCGTTTTCAGTTCCATGAGATTCATGCCCAAACACAGCTGCCTGCGTTCACGGGAACAAGATGGCAGCCACCTCATGGTCGTCCATAGGAATTGTGGCCACCCAGACGAACACTGTGGTGGAAATTGCTACAAAGTAGCAATTAGGCTTAACAAGCTCCAGGGTGGTCTCCGGTTCATGCGGCTGTTCGGTTCCCGAGCCAAATATAAAATGCCACAAACCAAGTCTGTTCACATAGTTTTTAAAGGGCAGTCTTTTAAAGGCACAGTCTTTCTGTAAGAGGCTGGCCAGCATGCCCCTCCAAAAACATGTGATAAGGCTCAGTTCGTCACCCCCCCTCTCCCCAGAATGACTAGGGGTCCCCAAACCCTTAGTTACCCCCCTCACCCTAAAAATAGTGAAATAAATACTTACCATTTGATGTCTTCTTTTTTCTAAAACTTTATTTTTTCACCCCCAAAAAGGCCAAATAAAAAAACATAATACCCATTGAACTTATCCAATAAAATAAAAACCCTGAGTGCAAAAAAAAAAATCTGCTGGAAAAAAATCCTGACGCTAAAAATATTATCCATCTTCAACCAGCAAAGGCACCATGCAGACTGAGCTCTGCAGGATGGGGAAAGGCTTATAAAGCCTTCCTTCGCGTGCTGGGGGGGTGGAGTGATGACGTAACGTGTGTAGCGTGTGTCCTCGTGCAATGCGGCTGAGGGGGCAATTTGAGGGAACCGACCAAGAGCTGAAGCGATGGCTCAATCTACACGGCATGCCACTTGGGGCACTTTACGGATCCCCACATAATGACCAAAGAGGACCCGATGCCAGGCTAAGAAGAAGGGAGCTATTTACCTTCGCGCTGGACAGTGCTATGCAATACAGCTAGCTCCTCCAGGAATAATGGTAGCAGGAGGAAACGGCAAGCAGCATAAACCAGACCCAGGGCATATTTCAAAAAGCTAAGTGCCCAATGATATTAAAATGCATGTGTATAGTCAGTAGGGAAATATACAAGTAATACAGTGTACATTTTTGGTCAGCTGAATACTAAAGGACCCTTGAGAAAGAATGGATTTAAAGTCCATTCAACTTTGCTCACCGTGCTGAGATGATTGCCTGACAGTCTTAAGCGGGGTGGGTTAATTTTTCTTATGGTTTCTGCTTATTTGGTTTTTTTTTTTTATTTCTTCTATTTTATTTACTTATTTATTTATTCTTGTTTGCTCCTTTTTTCTCTCTTGCTGTTCCTTCCAGCCCCCTTGTACTCCGTCCTTATTTTTTCTATTTTACACACTGAATTCACTACTCCATTAAAGCAGGGATAAGTGAATGTGAAATAGGAAAAAGAGAGTAAATAAACAAAATAGACACAAAATGGCAAACATTTGAAAAAAGAAAAGAAACCTGAAAACAAAACAGAAAAATGCCTTTCCTTTTTTTCACCACATCCTCCAGGTAATAAGACATTAATAAGATATTAATAAAGGACAAACGGAGGATAATCAAGAGTCAAGAGAAGGAAGAAATGAATAAGACCACCTACTGGGACACCTAGATGCACAATTTGGGAAATTAAAAGAAGACCTGTTACCCTTGTTTATAGTAGGGCCAACTATGTCCTCTCTCTACATTGATTGTTTGCTTTGCGTAGATCGGGACTGTCAAGCCAGGTGTTAGCGGTGGTGGAAGCGGGTTCGTGCTAACCTGAGTCGATGTTGTTTTTGGGATGTTTGAGCCTGTTTTCGTGTTCGAATAATGCTGCAGACCTCGTCCTTAGATTTTGATGGTGGCTCATCGTGTGCAGTCTCGTGATTGCCAAGTTGCGGTTGGCCCGCGTTGATTCTTGGGTCTGTCATTGATTGCATGGGTACCTTTATGTGAGGTCTGTGTGGGGTGGGGGAGGAGTTAAGTGATGAGGGGGTTGAGGGGAGGTGTGGATGCAGAGGTCTCGAAAGGGGATAGGGCAGTAGGGAGCATTGACCGGCCTCCCAGGTCCCCTCACTCCGGTGTGAGGGGGAGTGGGGTGGGTGGTGGGGATGGGTGTGTTTTGCCCGAGTTACTGTGTATCGGCCTGTTCTGTATTGATGAAGGGCACCAGGGTCGAGTCTAATTAAGCGGCATTATGGTGGGTGCTATCTACCAAGTTAGTGTAGTATCTCCATTTATCCATGGGTCCCAAGTCTTATGGAAGTGTTTGGCTGTTTTGTGTATCTGGCCTGTGGGGCTATCCATGTTAGCCCTGTCTCTTTATGCGCTATGGTGGTGTGTGAGGGTAAGTGCAGTGTGGACCATAATTCCGCAATTGCTCTGCGTGTTGCCAGTGCTATCCATGTGATTAACTTGTTCTCTGCTCTGGTGAAGGAGTCTAGGGGTTTGGACAGCAGTAGAATCCATGGATCCATGGGGCATGCCTTGTCGAACAGTTTAGCGATTAGTGTTGCGATTCTGTGCCATAAGGGCTGGAAGGTCCCACTTCTCTGCACCCTTTCCAGCAGAGATTAGTTGGAGCTATGTGCATAGTGGTCAGTCGTTGGGGCATTAAGTACCAATGAAATAGCATTTTGTAAGCCTGTTCTTTATGCGTCATGCAAATAGATATGGAGGCTGTTGCATCCCAGATGTCTGACCAGTCGGAGGGTTCGTCGGGAGGGACCAGGTCCTTTCCCCATGCCTTTATATATGGGAGCGTAACTTGTGTTGGGTGAGTGGCCAAGGTGGAGTATAGGTCTGAGATTTGTCCCCTTCGTGCGGGGTGTTCCCCACAGTTCGAATTGTGTTGGGAGGGCCGTACCTGCCTGCTTAATAATGGGTGTGGATGCAAAGCTTCTGAGTTGTATGTATCTGAAGTGGTCGAATGTTGTGAGGAGGTTGTAGTCAGGTATTTCACTGATTGTGTTGTTAGGGTACAGGTGTCCCAGCCGAGATATGTTTCACTTTTCAAAGTTAGCAAAGTGTATTGGTGTAAGGCCTGGTGGAAAGAGCTTGTTTCTCCAAATGGGGGTAATTGGGGACAAAAAGGAGGACAGATCGAATTTGTCCCTCATCTTGTCCCATAAGTCAAGTAAGTAGGTGATGGTGGGGGCAGTTGGCAGGGGGCAAAGGTCGCTGTGATCTAAGTAGCCACATAGGTGCCAGTGTTGAATTTGGGCTAAATGTGTCACTGTTAGGTAGTGTGTAAAGCTAAGGAGACCTAGACCACCAGCTTGTTTGGGGACATATAGCGTGGCTTTCTGCACTCTGGGCTTGTGTCCATTCCAGACAAAGCATTCGACAGCCACTTGGAGGGCCTTCAGGTCTGTTTTGCGTAATGGTATGGGTAGGGTCTGAAAAATGTATAGAAATCTAGGTAGGAGATTAATTTTGATTGAAGTGACGCGACCCAGCCATGATATCCCCAGGGATATTGCACTAGGTCTTTTGTAGGAGGGATGTGTACTTCGCCTCATAAAGGTTTGCTATGTCATTCGTTAGTTGGATCCCTAGGTATGTGATAGATGTGGGACAGGTGTGAAATGGGAATAAGTTTTGTAGGCATTCCAGCAGTGGTCTATCAATGTAAATGGGTAGGAGTTCTGACTTTGTTACATTTAGCTTGTATCCGCTTAGTGTGGAATAGGTCTGTATTAAGCTTAGCATGGCTTCTATGGATTTTTCGGGGTTCGTGAGTGTCATCAAAATGTCATCTGCATACACTGCAAATTTGAAGGTTTCCCCCCATATTTGCATCCCCTCTATCTCTGGGCTATCTTGCATCGCTTGCAACAATGGTTCAAGTGAGACCGCGAAAAGGAGGGGCGAGAGGGGACATCCCTGCGCGTGCCATTGGTGATTGGGAAGTGTGGCGGTGTTATGTTAGAGAGGAGGAGTGCTCCTTGCGGGTTGTAGTAAATTGCCTGTAGAAAGGATATGGAATCAATATCATGTGAGGGTGTAGTAGAGAAGTGGCCAAAGAAGGTGGTCAAACGTCTTTTCGGCATCTAGCGAAATGACCGCCATTGGAATTTGTCTGTGTTGTGCTATCCATATCAGGTGTTATCCGAGGCTTGCCTGGGGATGTAGCTAACCTGGTCTGGGTGGATTATCCATTCTAGGTGCAGGTTTAGTCTATTGGACATTATTTTGGTTAGTATTTTAAGTTCCACATTAAGGAGAGAGAGAGGTCTGTAATGTTCTGGTTGCGAATGGTCCTTGTCTGATTTCGAAAGGAGGCAGACATGCGCGGTGACCATGTCTATCGGGAGTGTATCTCCCTTGAGCAAGGCGTTGAAGACTCATGTGAGGTGTGTTAGGAGCAGTTGACTAAATTCTTTATAGTATAAGGCCGTGTACCCATCTGGGCCAGGGCTCTTGTTAGGCTTGAAGGCTTTGAGGGCCTCAGCCATTTCTTCTGTTGTTATCTCCGACGCTATGGCAGCTTTGGTTTCCTAGGGTATGATAGGGAGATTCAATTTGTCTAGGAAGTCATTAATGGCTGCTCGGCATGAGTGGTCTTCCGCTGTTGAGGGAGGGGGGGTGTAAGGTTATACAGGGCTGTGAAATAACTCTGGAATATTTCCCCTATTCGCTCTGGGATGTTGCTAAGTTGTCCTGATGGGGTGTATCCATTTAGAGTCTATTCTATGTTTAAGGCGGCGTGCCAGCATAGAGTCTGCCTTATTGCCTTTCTCATAGTATTTTTGTTTGAGCCACATTAGGACTTTCGCTGTGTCGGCCTGTGTGAGTTGTTTCACCTGGTCTCTAATGGAATTTAGCTGGGTCCAAGTGGATTGTCGTGGGTTTCGTTTGTACTTTGTTTCTATGTAATGGAGTTCCGTCAAGGCATCTGTGAGCTGCTGTTATCATTGGCAATTTTTGCCATTGCCAGGCTAATCTAGTGACGTCTAATGACTGCCTTGTGGGCCGACCATATGGATAGTGGGAATGTCTCAGGGTTAGTGTTGAGGTCCAAGTAGTCTTTGAGATGTTTGGCTATATCAACCATTGTTAGTTTGTTGTGTAGGAGTAGTGGATTAAGTTTCCAATGTCTCTTGAGGTAGGGTATGCTCATGGTGAGCATGATGTCGGTGTGGTCCGACCAGGAAACCATGCCTATGTCTGTGTTGATTATTTGAGGGAGTAATCTCAGGGAAATCGGGGGAGTGGTCTATGCGTGAATATAAGTCATATGGGTGGGAGTAAAAGGACTTTTCTGAAGGTATGGCGTATGTCCCTGCACTATAGGGTTGCTATTCTGCCTGTGGGCTAGTGAGTCGTTTCTGACTGAGGAGCCATTTGTTGGGGAGGTGGTCTCTCCACCCCCCCCCCGCATCTTGTAGCCCCAGTCTGGGACATGGTGAGCTGTCTGGTGGTTGGTGTTGCCCATGCCTGAAAGGGAGAGATTCGTAGTCCCCCTGCAGCCCCAGCATCGCCAGGCCGCCTAGCTTGGTGGTGCGACAAATTCCATGGTTGGGGCCCACGCGACACCAGGGAGGGTACGCAGGCAGGATGTTAGGCTTGCGTCCCCGGTGCCATGGCGTCGAGAGTAATGTGACTGGGGGAGTTACGCTGCCCCTCTATGCAGGCCTGAGGGGTGCCGGCCCAGAAGGGGCAAGTATAAAATAGCTTTTATGGGTCCACAGTTATACTTGCAACTCTGCAAGGTGTTGCTTCTGATTGCTTTGGTGTTCGATGTTCTCGGCGATGTAGGTTCACTGAGGCTGGAAAGTGTTCCGTATGCTAGGCTCTCTATGTCTTGTGCTGCGATCCGTCTCCCTGGCTTTGTTCTGCATAGCGTCCATGGTGGTGTGGGGAAAGGGACGAGTGTTAGCTGCTCACCCGAAGCCGGCAATATGAAGAAGGTGGCTGTTAGTCCCTGCTCCCAGAGGGTCGTTGTGGAGATGCTCTGTCTGGTAGGCCTGATATCCCAAGCTTTTCAGCGAAGCTGTACATTTCGGATGGGTGGTGGAGTGCATGAGTCTGATTGTCTGATTGACGGGCAATTTGAATGGATGGCCCCAGGCATATCGGATCCTCCTTTGGTTTAGTGCCTGAGTGAGGGGTCGCAACTCTTTGCGCTTACAGAGGGTGCTTGGGGCTAGGTCCTAGAAGAACTGGATCTGATGCCCGTCAATTTGTAACGGTGTGTCCCATGCCGCTCTCATGATTGCCTCCTTGACGTGGAAATAGTTCATCCGCACTATGACATCTCTGGGCATGGCGGTGTTTAGGGAGGGAGCCTGCAGTGCCCTGTGTGCCCTGTGAGCACTGTCCATGAGTAACTCTGCCGAGGGGGGTTTCTGGAAGTAAACCACAAAATGTTTCCGGAGTGTGGCGGTTAGGGTCTCGATGGTCACGGATTCAGGGAGCCCCCTGATTCTGATATTGTTTCTTCTGGAGCGGTTGTTGAAGTCCTCTTGTGCATCTTTAAGTGCTCTGACCTGTTCTCTGAAGTCTTGTATGGCTTGCGCTTAAGTGGAGGAGGCTGACGTAACCTGCTCCATCTTGTCCTCCATATCAGAGGTCCTCTTGTTCATGTCCGCCATTCCTTCTCTAATTGGGGCCAGATGTTTAGTAAATTTCCGTGGCCATGTTTGTCTTTATTTCCTACAGGAGGCTCTGTAAGTCTCTTTTAGTGAGCGGTGCTTGGTCTTGAGAGCGGCTTTGGTCGCTGGTGTCCGATTTAGAATTCAAGTCCAGGACGCCATCACCATGTGGCTGGTCCCGCTTGCCACGGAAGATCAGGGCCACTGCTGTGTTGTGTTTTTATTTTCTGCCGCCTCCCATGTTTCTCTGTGGCTCTGGGGTTGATTCCCCGGCTGCTAATCAGTTTTGGACGTGTTTGACTGCTTTTGTTCACATTTGTTTGCCTGCTTTAGCGGAGCGCTAGCACACTGTTGCCATTCGCCTTGGAAGCCAGGCACCGCCCCAGAACTGCTGACTCTTAATCTACGAATACAAGGGAGAGAAGAGAAATTAAATGGGATGAAATACAAGGAAAAAGTCCACAAAGAAGAACACCTGGCACGAGCACAAAAATAGCTGACATGGAGAACAAATTGATAGACCTGGAAGACAGGTCAGGACGGAACAACTTAAGGGTCAGAGGAGTATCAGAACAAATAACTGCAAAAAATCTGGAGCCATATATAGAAGATTTTATCAAACACCTGGATGTGGAATGGGACACCAGAATTCCTATGATGAGAGATGCCACAGAGCGAATAAACCTAAGGGTGTCCCAGACCACTTTCCAAGAGAGGTACTGATATGCTGCACCTCATAAGATGCAAATACTGATAGCCACAAGAAGTAATAAATGCGCAGAAGAGTATGAAACCCTGAAAATATTTCAGGACTTGTCATGGCCAACCAGACAAAAGAGTAAAACCTTTTCTGATAGTACATTAATTCTGAGACACAATAACATCAAATACCAATGGGGGTTCCCCACGAAAATTATTATATCATATGAAGGAAAGATTGACCAAGCTGAAGATCTAAAAAGCTGGCTAACCGCAAACAAAATTGGAAGTAGCCCCAATCAACAAACAGCGAGGCTCCAACTATCTAAAGGAAAGGAAAGGAAGGGAAGAAGAAAAAGAAATGGCACTAGCGACACTTAACCCCTTAAGTAGGGAAGAGAGTCTGAAAGCACATGGAGATAATGGGTAAAACAAGCAAAGAATAGGGAAAAAAGTATACATATATTAGGAAATTGATTAAGTACACAGATAACAAGTTAAGCAATGCACGAAGTAAAGTATATTATCCTCATATAAAGGTACACAGTAATAAAGAACAAAATGACACAAAATGTACACTAAATAAATATTAAGAATAAAGGGAAGATATAGTGACACAGAAAGGTATACACCATGGGTCGTCAACCTGGTCCCTACCGCCCACTAGTGGGCGTTTCAGGATTCCAGGTGGGTGGTAGGGATTTCGGCGGCTAAATCCTCCTTTTTGAGAGGATTTCTCCTTTTTAGAGGGGGCTTGGGGGCGCAAGATTTCAGTGGCCAGGCCACCCTCTGGACCCCCGGCGCGGCAGACTTCTAATCCGAGGCGGCAAGGGAGCTCTAACCTCTCTGCTCTGCTCCTTCGCACGATGTTTGCTGATGCTGCGGGAGCCGGAATATGACATCAGATTCCGGCTCCAGGCATCAGTAGACAGCCCACGAGGGAGCAGAGCAGAGAGGTTAGAGCTCCCTCGCCGCCTCGGATTAGAACTCTGCCGCCCGCCAAAGTGAAGCCCCACTGGACCCCAGCGACAGATCCACACCAGCTCGGCTGGGTGGACATTTAATATTAATAATTTGTGTGTCTATAAGTGTATGTGTGAGTGTGTGTGTGTGTCTGTAAGTGTATGTGTGAGTGTGTATGTGTTTCTCTGTGTGTGTGTGTGTGTGTGTGTATGTCTGTAAGTGTGTGAGTGTGTGTGTATGTCTGTAAGTATATGTGTGTGTGTGTCTGTAAGTGTGTGTGTGTGTGTGTTTGTCTGTGAGTGTGTGTCTGAAAATGTATGTGTGAGTGTGTTTGTCTGTGAGTGAGTGTGTGTGTATCTGTAAATGTGTATGTGTGTGTCTGTAAGTATATGTGTGTGTGTATGTTTGTGTGTATGTGTTTTTCTGTGAGTGTGTATGTGTGTGTATGTGTGTGTATGTGTTTGTCTGTGAGCAGAGTACTTGTAGAATAGAAGATAGAAGGAGCAGAGTATTTTGTAGAATAGGAGAAAGAAGGAGCAGAGTATTTGTAGAATAGGAGAAAGAAGGAGCAGAATACTTGTAAAAAGGAGAAAGGAGGAGTAGAGTACTTGTGAAAAGGAGAAAGAAGGAGTAGAGTACTTGTGAAAAAGGAAAAGGAGAGAATTGTTGTTGGCTAATAATAGTAAGTGGGCTACCTAGCTCAGGGGGAAAAAAAGGTGGGGAGGGGAATTGAGGAGGGGAGCTGATGCACAGATGGGAAATCATATTATAAGCAAACAGAGAAATCGTCTAAATATCACCGAAAGATATACCAGATATCAAATATTTAGTCTCGCAGCATCAACCTCAAGGATCTTATTAATCACTAGTAAAGAAAATTTCATTAACTATGTTTTCTCATTAAACTTCATAAAGTTAAAAACATTATAAACATGCATAAAGTAGAAATAAAAAGATAAATGTACGTACATTTATATTTTTCAAAAAAACACTCTCCTTTCTAAAAAATATTCTGCACTTGCGCGAAAACTGGTGTGCGGTAAGGAAATTTTTCCATCAAGAAAGATGCATTAGTGGGCAGTAGGTAGAAAAAGGTTGACTACCACTGGTATACACCTACACAAGGAAAACCAAAAAACAGGGAAACAGAAAGGGGATAGAAAAAGAGGAAGGGTGGGGAGAAAAAAAAGAAAAAAAACAATATCTAATAGAGAGGTTAGTAATAACATACATTTTGCACGATGAGGAAATAAAGTAATAGTGAGTACAAACACATAATAATTGAGTCAACAATAAACTGAATGGTGTGTGTGGTTTAGATTAGTGGGGTCTTCTTGTGTTCCCACTCCTTTCCATTTGTTTTCTTTTATTAAGGTTGGCCCTTCATAGATCGTATACCCCCAGTACGCTTTTCCCACACAACATGTGGGATCCATATCCGAGTAATTTTCTGTATTACTCGAGATACTGTATGACGAGGGTATTTTGCTATACAAAATCTATGTCTTGGGTTAATTCCACATTTTTGGAACAACCCGTCATATTTTTATGTAAATACAAATAGAGATTGTTTTCTTGTTTTTAATAAATCCACGGTAACTTTTGGAGAGAGAGAGCCCCGAGAACTGATAGAAAACTGTAATTTAAGTTAGTTTCGATAAATACCCGCGGGATCAACACACCCTGTAAAAGGTCTATAATTGTACATTTCTTGACAAAAAATCGGGTACGAATATGTGCCCTTCAAGAAACCCACTGGATAAAATCCCATAGAAATACAATAGGTTCAACAAGATACCCCATCATTATAAGTGCAGCTTTGGAAAATAAAAAAAAAGAGGTGTGGCATTCATGTTCGAAAACAATGTTTCTCTAAATATTAAACATGAAGAACTAGACCTAGAAGGCCGATACATCATTTTAGTATGTGAAGTAAACAATAAGCTATTCACGATAGCTAACATCTACGCACCAGATAAATCTACAATAAAATTTATTACAAAAGTCTTTAAGAAAATAGAGCAGATTAAACAAGAATTGGTACTAATTATGGGGGACTTCAACTGTGTAACTGACCCTCTGAAAGATAGAAAGAGCCAGAATGACCAAAAGAGTAAGATAGCAAGTGAGAATAGAATGCAAAATTTACTGAATAACTATAATTTGAGAGATGTATGGAGAACATTTCATCCCTCTGATCTAGATTATACATGTTATTCTAGAACATTTAACTCTTATTCCAGAATTTACATTATTCTGGGAAATGTGACCATGCTATATCTAGTTAAAAGAAGAATAGAGATTAAGGATATAGTGTGGTCAGATCACAGCCCTATTATGTTAGAATATAAAGATACTTTTGATACTTTCTGCAAAGACGGGCATTTAAAAGACTACATATTACATAAAAAGAATATTGTTGAAAAGATTAAGAAAATAACCAAACTTTTCTATTTAGAAAATAAACCAGATATCTGGTGCGCATATAAAAGCGTAGTTAGGGGTCACTTTTTGTAATCACTAAGTGAAAACAAAAAGCAGAATAAAATAACACCCTTCACACAAATAGCAAGGAAGATTGCAGAAATAGAAAAACAGATAAACAAACAGTTAATGAATAAAGCAGCTAAACAGTTAGAATCCTTACAATCGAAGTGGTATTTAAAGGGCAACAAGCCAGAACAACTAATGACCTATAAACTGAAAAAAGGGGGAAGAAAGAGTAATATATAAAATAAAGGATAAGGAAACGTATTTAATGGCCCCAGAAAAAAATAGGAAAAGCATTTAAAACATGTTATCAGGATCTATATAACTTGCCAGAAGAAATATACGTCAGAGAAGAAGAGATTGAGAAATTTTTCCAAAACATACATATGCCAAAAATTCTACCCGATAAAAATGATAAATCGTGCACATACACGATCGCTACAGACTTTATACATTATTCATTTACACAGTCACATGGTTTTGTAATTAATTTTATTTCTACATCTCATGCAGTTGCACATTACACTCACATATCTTTGTGATTTAGTCTTAATAGGTTCGTACTAGACTTACT